TTTTTAAGTTTACGGGAACTTACCTTTTCTTGTTCGCACATTAGGAAAGTTTAAAACTTACGGAGGATCTTTTCGGGTTTTACCGGAAACATTTTGGGAAACACCGGGAATCACCAGGCAACACCGGGAAATACCGTAAAACGGCAGAAATCCGCGGCATCACCTCAACGACCAACGGCCGCAGTCAGGAGACGCGCGACCGCGGTGATTGAGGACTCGGCCGCGGTCACGTTCACGGTGCCGCGGTCGATGCACCCTTGGCCGCGGGTCGAATGGTCGCGACCGCGGCTCTTCCTCCTGTGGCCTATTGTCCAATCTTCTCGTCTTTGACGGGCCGAGCAGCTAAAAACCTACCTTTTCTTCTTGGTTTTTCTAATTTTCTGATTTTTTTTTTTTTGGTGTTTTTGTTTCATAACATACCTAAAACTTAAAAAGAAAAAGAAAGCATAAATTGTAAAAAGGAAAAGAAAACTAAAAGAAAGAGTACCTAAATGGGTTGCCTCCCATTAAGCGCTTTTGTTTTAAGTCGTTTAGCTCGACGTGAGCATGAGGAATCAGGCTGATTTAAATGGCACTTGATGTGCCTTTATTACTTCCGGTTGCTGGAGGTTTTACTTCTTCTCCTTGAGGAGCTGTCTGCTTCCCCTTATTCTTCTTTCAGACTTTAATATTGTTCAAAACCCTTTTTGTGTTTTCGATCAGCTCCTGTATTTGGTCCTCACTAGTTTCTGTTGCATCCGGTGGAATGATGATCTTGATCTTTGCAAAAGCTTTTGGCTTCTCCTTTTCTTTCTCTTTTGGCCTGTTTGCTTTGCTTGGAAATTCATCTAAAATAGTAGGATAGTACCTTTTTCTGTCCACATTGAGGAAAACAGCATGCCGGTTTGCGTGATCGATTATTGCTCCTACTGTAGCTAGGAATGGTCTCCCGAAAATGAGTGGCCTCTCCTTGTCTTTCTCCATCTCCAGGACTTGAAAATCTGCTGGAACAATCTTATCTCCCACTAGAACTTGTAGATCATGAATCGCCCCTTCAGTATCTTTTTGAGATGAATCTCCAAAGATAACCTTAACCGTCGATGTCCTTAAGGTTTTTATGCCCAATTTTTCGGCAAATGTCTTAGACATGATGTTGACATTGGCTCCGGAATCGCACAGGCAGTCTGTAAACTTGATTCCTGAAATGAAACATTGGAAAACAAAACGTCCCGGATCATTGGCTTTTGTAAGCCTTTGAAACAGTGATTGTTCAGGTACCTTAAACGGTGGCTGCTTGGGATCGATATCTTTGTACAGTGGTACAAAGATTGGTGTTTCTTCTTTCTTTCCATCGGTTCCGGCCTCTTCTTCGGGCAATGTGGTTATGGCGTTGCAAAACTTCTTAAGATTATCTTCAACTCTTCCTGGAAGAACTCCACTTTGCCTCTTCATAGAGTCGGCTGTTTGGGCGACTTGCACATCTAATTTTTTTACGTGCGAAGATAAAGATTCAAACTTACCATTCAGATCATTGTACATGCAGTCCACTTTCACGTTCACGTCTTTAGATGCTTTTTCGTTCGTCATAACGAGCTGTTGGATGGACTGTTCAAGTCTACCGATTTGTGAAGCTAGCTGGTTTGTCGTGACTCCCTGCTGTTGTACAAAACCCGTACCTTGGTAGTTATATGGTTGGCGCTGTTGATATGGTATTATTCCTCCGAAGTTTCCACCTTGAAACTTGTTTTGGAAGGATTTTTGCTGAGGTGGGTAGTACTGATCTTGAGGATTCTCCACATTTGGATTGCGGTAAGAGAGATTGTTGTAATTTGCATTCCGGAAGTTGTTGTTGAAGTTGTTGTTGGAGCGATTTTGGTATGGCACCAGTGCTCCTACGTAGTTCACATCTTCTTCTTGAAATGCTTGATTAATGTGATCGATATCACTAGGTCCTTCATCTTCTGCGCCATTGTTGGTTTCACAAGCATGGATTGGGCGATTGTTGCTCTTCAGAAGCTGGCTCACCATGTTCTTCAACTCGGTTATCTCCTTGTTGTTTGTTCCGGCTTGCTTCATCGATCGATCGTATTCAGGACAGTCATTGCTATTGGCTTGAGCCAAATTTTCGATGAGAGCTCTTCCTTGGGTTATCGTCTTTTGCCCAAAATCTCCATTGCTAGCTGTATCAAGTGAAAGTTTGTATTTTGGTTGCAAACCTCGGTAAAATGTGCTCAGCAGGCTTGATCCATGAAATCCATGGTGAGGGCAATCACGTTCATACTCCTTAAAATGTTCCCAAGCTTCATAGAAAGATTCAGTTGGCCCTTGTTCAAAGGTTGAGATCTTCGTTCTCAAATTGTTCGACCTTGACTTAGTGTATAAGTGGCTTAGGAAAGCAGTTCTACATTCTTCCCAATTAGTAATCGATCCTGCAGGCAAAGACTTCAACCAACGGTGAGCTTTATCTGCTAATGAAAAAGGGAACAACTTACACTTTAAATAATCAGGTGGAACTTGGTTTGTTCTCATCATGCTGCAAATTTCTTCAAAAAGCTCGATGTGGTCCATTGGGTGCTCAGAAGGAACTCCATGGAACTGGTTTTGCTTCACCAATGAGATGATTTGAGGCTTGACTTCAAACTCATTCCGGTTTGGAAATGGTACTTGAATCGCAGATCGATTCTGAAAATTTTGAGTAGGTGCATCAAAATCAGCTATGCGATGGTTCCTGGCTTGTCTTCGGTGTTGATTTGCTGGCGAAATGGGGCGGTGAATGCGTTCATTCGGCTGCATTGCTGGGTGGTCACCATCGGCTGCATTCATGGGTGGATCAAGGTCTTCACGTCCTTCTCTCTCTCGGTTCTGGTGGTTTCTTGGAAGAACCTCATCCTCCTCTCCATCTTGTCGAGCATGATCACCCTCTATGTGATCATTCTCTTCGTTTTCTCCATGTTCGGACCCGTCTTGGTCCATATTTAAATTTCGATTAATAGGATCTCCAGGCTGGTCGTCGTTGGCCATTCCTTGCGTTCGTCTAAGTCTTCGAAGTTCTCTTTCGTGTATGTCTATCTCGTCTAGAATTGGAATGTCTCCTGCAGGTCTACGCCTGGTATTCATGCAATTCAGAGAAAAACAAAAGAAGGGAAAGATAGTTCAGAAAAACTTTAAGAAAGAACTAGAGATCAGGTGTCTAGAACAGAAGTTAAAACAAGAAAAATAGCAAAAGGCAGCGAAACAAATCCCCGGCAACGGTGCCAAAAACTTGATGTGTCGTGTCAACTGCGTGAGGGAACAAGTTTTACCCTTAACAAAACAAATGAAAGCCGCAAGTGCACAGCTAATCAGTTGCAGTATTTAGGGATCGAATCCACAGGGATTTGTGTGCCTGGTATTCTTCTACGGTTTTTAACTTTATGTCAAGACTAAATTGGTTTTAAAGGTTGGTTGTTTTTCTTGCGAATTAAACTAAAACAAAAGAAAGCAAATAAATCTATCCTAAAAAGCAGGTAAGAAAATCGAATGAAATGCAATTAGAATAAGCAAATATCAAATGAAAGACTAATAAGGCAAGTAAAATATCGCATGAAAGGTAAATAAAGCAAGTAAATAATGAACTAAGGAAATTGAAATGCAGGTCTAAGAAAGCAATAAAAATCGATGGAGTTGTAAACTATGGCTAAAAACGCTGAGCTTTTGAGAACTCTAAGGGATCATAATCGGTTTTTAACACTAGGGTAGATAGATTGAGATTGACAGATAACGATATATAGGTTCTAGAGCTAGAGTACGGCGGTATGACTACGTCACTGTCGTGATCATAACCAACTGTTTCTCGCAACCCTGACCAGTAGGTTTCCACTCTGGCCCTGGAAGGGAGAGAATGCAAGAGCTGCACAAGACTCGTCAATACTTACGATCTCGCCGCAGGTAGGTTTCCATTCCTACGGAAAAATCGCCTGTTTCATTCTAGGGCTGATACTTAATGAAAACTTTCGCAACACTAACTATCTAGATCAGATACTAGGTGATCAATCAAGCATACATGCAATAAGAACAAGAATAAACAGAGAACAGGTCGAAATCCCAGATCTATAAACCTAGATGTCTTAATCGATTATGAGAGCCCCTTTCGAGAACCCTAAGCCCAACTCGGGATCTACTCAGACATGGCTGAGTTCGACATCATCATTGGTTTTAATAAAAGTAGTGAAAAACAGTAAAGAAAAGAGATAAAGAAAGCTTCTCTATTGCAGAACTCGGACTTGAACAATCTTCTACAAAAATCGCATAAAAACGGGTAAAGGAAAAGGGTTGCTGTAAAGTATGAAGGGTTGTCTCTAAAAACGGCCTAAATGACATGTATTTATAGTCTCCAATACTCCATGGTCTCTAGGGTTCCGAAATTGAGGCTGAGAATGACTTTGGGCTTCAGATAAGTGGGCTTTAATTCGGAGATTGATTGCCGCGGTCGGGAGTGTTGTGACCGCGGCAAATAGCTTGTTGGCTGCGGTCGGGAAGCTTCTGACCGCGGCAAATAGCTTGTTGGCCGCGGTCGCGTGAGTTGCTGACCGACTTCGAGTGGCTCCGGGGCTAATGGAATATCTTGAGATCCAACCGTTGGAATGTCTCCAAACCAAGTGCATTTGAAAGCTGGTTGATTCTTCTATAAGTTGTCCAATTTTGAGGGTGATCAGACGGTGAGAAGGTCTTCGTCTCTCCATGAGAGTTCTGACGGTCTGCATTTATCCAAAAGAGGCTTTTTGTTCCATTTTGTGCCTCTTTATCCCAAATTACCTGAAAAGTCTTTTAAAATCCGGAAACATAGAAATCCTTTGAAAACCTTTGAAAATGGAGTAAAAACACCTGTAAAAGATATTAAAATGATCCATAAAAATGGTCAAAATCCGGTGTTATCATCTATATCAGCATGTGTTACGTGTACTTCGATTTCAACTTTCAAAAGAGATTTGCTCCAAAACGGTGACCTATACAAGGAATTGACAAAGAATCAATGCAGAACAATGGAAGACGTGCTATCTAGAGCATGGGCAGAAATCAGGTGGGAAGAAGATCCAGCCTACAAGCATCGACACTCCCCACACTCTGATTCATGTGTGGTGAAGAACAAAAGATCAACTAGAGATGAAAAGTCGTATCAAAGACCTCACAGTGAAAATGCCAGCAGGAGAAGTGACAACAGAGACGCTCATCGACCAATCAACAAGATCGAAAGCGAGATGCGACCACCATCAACCTGGCCTGACATGAGTAACCTTTCACTTTCTCTTGTAAAACTGGTTGCTGTGTTGCACCGTAAGAGTGCAATGGTAAGATGGCCACCAAAATGAAGGCACCTGCAGAAAGGAGTGACACTTCAAAATGGTGCGATTTTCACAGTGATCACGGTCACCGGACAGAAGATTGTGTTTCATTGAGAATGAAAGTGAACAAATTATTGAAGAAAGGCCACTTGAGGGAATATATATCCGATAGAGCTAAAAATCGCTTTAATGAGAGAACCGACGATAGAACGTTGAAGAAATCTACTCCAGGATCACCTCCAAAGCATGAACGTATCATTCATGTCATCTCTGGAGGTTCGGAAATCAGCAGAATATCACATTCAGCTGCCAAAAGGAGCACTAGAATTGCTAAGAATCATCATGGAGATACTCGAGTAAGGTGTAACGTTATGCCAACATGCATCATAAGCTTCACATCTGAGGAAGGTAGAGAGATTAGCTCCACATCATGATGCACTGGTCATATTCTTAACAGTTGCTAACAGTTTGATGAAAAGAACGTTGATTGACAATCGGAGCTCAGCAAACATACTCTTCATAAAAGCTTTCAAAGGATTAGGCCTAAAAGGATTAGGCCTAGACGAGTCTGCACTAACGCAAAAATCTACTACGTTGGTCGGTTTCAGTGGCGAGGTTAAACAAACTGTAAGAGAAGTGATGCTGCCTGTATATGCGGGAGGAATCAACAAACAAACAAAGTTTTTGATACTTGACTGTGCCTCAGCTTACAATGCGATTATGGGATGTCCTTGGATTCATGAGATGGGAGTGGTCCCCTCAACTCTCCATCAAATCATCAAGTTTCCCACTCCCTGGGGGGTTAAAGAGATCAAAGGAGAGCAAGAAAATTCGCGTTAATGATATCAGACAGCAATGAAAGGGAGATGTCAGCAATTGTATCAACTGCAGAGTCCACAGCCGATCCGGCATAATGAAGAACCAGAGGTGAAACAACTCGATGAAATATCATTAGTGGACGATGAACCTGATAAAATGGTGAATGTTGGTTCAAAGCTACCAACCGACATAAGGAAGAGACTCATAGACTTTCTTAAATCTAATGCAGTCTGTTTCGCATGGTCACATGCTGATATGCATGGGATTGATCCTGATATAATTATGCACAAGCTCCAAGTAGATCCAGACCATCGCTCTGTAAGGCAGAAATGAAGGAAGTTTGCTCCCGAACGCGACCTAATCATAAACAACGAAGTTCAGAATCTGCTAGATGTAGGTTTCATCCGTGAGGTGCGCTACCCAGATTGGTTAGCTAATGTGGTGGTCGTTCGCAAGAAAAAAGGGAAGTGGAGAGTGTGTATAGATTTCACTGACCTCAATAAAGTATGTCCAAAGGATCCTTTTCCACTGCCACACATTGACAAACTTGTGGAAGCTACGACAGGTCACCAGTTGATGAGCTTTATGGATGCTTTCAGTGGATACAGTCAGATACTCATGTACCCAGACGACCAAGAGAAGACTTCATTCATGACCTCACAAGGTATATAATGCTACAAAGTGATGCCTTTTGGGTTAAAGAATTCTGGTTCCACCTATCAGAGACTGGTGAACATGATGTTTGCTGACCAAATCGGTCACACCATGGAGGTTTATATAGATGACATGCTTGTGAAGTCACTAGTAGCAGAAGATCACATTGTGCATCTACAACAAGCATTCGCTACTCTGAGGAAGTATGATATGAAATTAAATCCGACAAAATTTTCTTTCGGAGTAAGCTCCGGAAAGTTTTTGGGATACATCGTCACCCATCGTGGAATAGAAGCTAACCTGGATCAAATTAGAGCGATTCAAGTGATTCCTTCACCAAGGAATGTGAAGGAAGTTCAAAAGCTAACAGGAAGAATGAGCGCTTTGAGCAGGTTCATCTCGAGATCCTCGGACAAGTCTCACGCTTTTTTCGCAGTTCTAAGGAAGCCAAAAGACTTCGTATGGGACGAAAAGTGTGAAAAAGCATTGAAAGATCTGAAAGATTACCTAGCGTCACCTCCCTTACTATCAAAACCTAAGAACGAGGAGGTGCTCTTGTTGTATTTGGCTGTATCAAAACATGCAGTCAGTGTTGTGCTTGTTTGAGAAGAAGGAAACAAACAACATCTGGTCTACTATGTGAGCAAGTCACTTTTAGATGCAGAGCGAAGGTACAGTCACTTGGAGAAGCTCGCATTAGATTGATAACTGCAGCTCGAAAGTTGCGACCTTACTTCCAGGCGCATCCTATTGTTCTAGTCAGCTCAGCTCCCATCAAAGCTATCTTGCACAAACCAGAGGTGTCTTGAAGGCTGGAAAAATGGGCAATCTAACTTGGAGAATATGATGTGATCTACAGACCAACCACCACCATTAAATCCCAAGTGCTTGCGGATTTTGTGGCAGAATTTGCTCCAAATATGATTCCCGAAGTGAAAAAAGAGATTCAAACCCTACAAGAAGGGAACCCAAAAAGAATTTGGAAGCTATACGTCGACAGATCTAGCAATATGAGGAGAACCGGCTTAGGTATGGTCCTTACCTCTCCCACAGGAGAAATATCTTCAAGAGCTGTGAGGTGCAACTTCCGAGCTACAAATAATGAAGCAGAGTATGAGGCATTAATAGCAGGACTTACATTAGTGCATGACCTTGGAGCTCAAAATTTAGAGGTTCTTAGTGATTCTCAACTCATAGTTAACCAAACGGTGGGAGACTACCAAGCACGTGATTCAAAGATGACTTGATACTTGAACACGACAAAGAAATTGTTGGAAAAGTTCACCAGTTACACGGTGTCACAGATTCCAAGAGAGGAGAATTGTCACGTAGATGCTTTAGCTAACCTCGCTTCAGCTCTCAAAACCAAAGCGACGGTCAACATTCCATTGCTAGTGCTGCAGTGGCCAGCTACGGGAAAAAGGCCGATTAGTACCTCAACACCATCATCTGGTACCAATAAATACCCAAACAATTTTGATAGGTTAATCAGTACCTGAACTTATTAAAATCGATAAATACATACCTCAATAATATTTTTGTGGCCAATAAGTACATTGACTTTATGTCTGTTAGTCAAACCTGTTAACTTGCAAACGGAATCCGACTTGGATACTACCGTGGATGCTCTATTCGAATGAAACCAATACGACGCCGTTTAAGGTTAAAAATCTGGAAAAAAAGATAAAAACGACGTCATTTTAAATTTATTATCCATTAAAAAAAACACCATCTATATCTTCTTTCGTGGGAGAAAAACATCGATAGTTAGGATTTGGGTGGTGTTCAAAATCAAATCGGAATGACTTCATCGTCGAATGCTAACACTTCTTCGGCGATTCATGGTAGGTTTAGGTTTTTAATTTTGGTTTTGATTTTGATTCAAACACTTTCGGATAATCAAATCGAAAATTTCAATTTTGATTTTTTTAATGTATAATAAATTTAAAACGACATCGTTTCTGTCTTTTTTCCCCTGATTTTTAACTTTAAATGACGTCGTATTGGTTTCATTCGAACACAGCATCCACCGTGGCATCTGAGTCGGATTCCGTTTGCAAATTAACGGGTTTGACTAACAGAGAGAAAGTCAATGTACTAATTGGCCAAAAAACATTATTGAGGTATGTATTTACCGATTTTAATAAGTTCAGGTACTGATTAACCTATCAAAATTGTTTGGGTATTTATTGGTACCAGATGATGGTGTTGAGGTACTAATCGGCCTTTTTCCCGGCCAGCTACAGACAGTGACTTACCAAATCAAGAAGTTGCAACATTGGAAGCAATGCCTAATTGGATGACACCTATTGTCAGTTACCTACGGGATAACTTATTACCAACGAATCCCGGTGAATGCAGAAAAATTAAGAAACAAGCAGCATGTTACTGCATGCATGAGAACAAACTGTACCGCAAGTCTTTCTCTAGACCTTACTTGAAGTGCTTAGCTCCAGGAGAAGCCAAACAAGTTCTAATGGAGCTGCATGAGGGAGAATGTGGATCTCATTCAGGAGGAAGAAGCCTCGTACTGAGAGTAATGAGGGCTGGATACTATTGGCTGACCATGTCGATCGAATGATGCAGCACGGTTTGCTCGACATTGCGATAAGTGCCAAAGACATGCACAGGTTTCAAAGTTACCTCCATAAAACCTGAAAACCATCACTTCGCCATGGCCATTCATGAAATGGGGTATGGATATAGTTGGCAAGCTGCCAACATCACCTTTCCAAAAGGTTTTTCTGTTAGTCGTAACTGACTACTTCTCCAAATGGGTGGAAACGGAGGCACTTAGCCGGATCACAAATAAAGAAGTCAAAAGCTTTATCTGGAAAAACGTCATATGCAAGTTTGGGGTCCCCCACGAAATTTTCACTGACAACGGACCACAATTCACAAGTAACAATTTGTTTTGCACCACGTGGGGGATAAAACTCAGCTTCGAAACACCAAGGCATCCTCAATCCAACGGACAAGCAGAATCTTCAAACAAAATCATTGTGAAGATGTTGAAGAAACGGCTTAAAAAAACTAAAGGTTTATGGGTGGAAGAGCTCCCTAGGGTGTTATGGGCCTACCGTAGCACGACTAAATCTGCGACGGGTGAGATACCATTCTCACTTGTATATGGGATGGAAGCAGTGGTTCCTGCTGAATTAAGCGTGAGAACTGTGCGAACGGAACACCTTCAATACGCTGATAATGAAGAGCTTATGAATATGAGTCTCGACCTGTTAGACGAGAAAAGGGAAGCTGCTAGAATTCGGAATTGGTGTTATCAGAAAGATGTTGCAAGAAGTTACAACAAAAGAGTACGAACTAGGACATTCCAAACGGGAGGATGGGTGTTTCGACGTACTTTTCAGAATACAATGGAACATGGTGCAGGAAAATTAGGACCAACTTGGGAAGGTCCCTATAAAATCATAGAGGTCTGTGGATCAGGAGCATACAAACTACAAGATAAGGAAGGTAAAATCCAACCTACATCTAAAGACCTACTATTTTTAGATCCATTCGAATTTTTATCCCTTTTTATTCAGCTTAAGGTTTTCTAGATTTTTTGTTGCTTTCTTTTCTTTTTATGTCTCAGCTTTAAATTCATTCATGTCTACGGAAAATCATCTTAATAAAGGAGCTTTTCATATTAGAGCTACAAAGAGATTCTCGAGTTCGGGTTAACGACTACGGTCGCTACCAGAAATAAAGTTTCTACAAAACAGATTGATAACAATTGCCATTGTTTATCAGAAGGCAAAGCCTCGACCAAATAGCATTAGCTAAACACAACTGTTATGTCAAAGGCAATAATCGTTGAATGAGCGGCCAGCTCCAAAAGTGTTGTAAGCTCTCAGAAAGAGCATCACTACTATTACAAATACATACAGTGATAACTGCTATAAAAGTTGGTGTAAGCTCCCAAAATGAGCAATACTATCATTATAAATACATAGAGCGATAGCTGCTATAAAAGATTGGTGTAAGCTCCCAAAAAGAGCAACACTGTCATTACAAATATACACAGCGATGGCTGCTATGAAGGAAGGCCGTGTATGCTCCAAAAATAGATACATTAGTCCTAAAAATGTATATGGACGCTAGCAACTCTGGGTGTAAGCTCCCAAAGCATTAGCTTCCACACAGCAAAAAGCGGTGTAACCTCCCAAAAGTGTTAGCTTCCACACAGCAAAATACGGTGTAAGCTCCCAAAAGTGTTAGCTTCTACACAGCAAGATGCGATGTAAGCTCCCAAAAGCTTTAGCTTCCACACAGCAAAATGCGGTGAAAGCTCCCAAAAGTTTTAGCTTCCACACAGCAAAAAGCGGTGTAAGTTCCCAAAAGCTTTAGCTTCCACACAGAAAACA